ACGATGTGAGCTATTACGACATTTCTGACACGCTGGTTGGAGGGGTGTCGCACATGAGAGCTATTGACTCCAAGAAGTTATCCATTTATTATCCTTAATCGAATAAAGAAATTGCATTTCATCTTCAGACTTTAGCGATTACAGAAGGCCTTCCCTAGTTCGACGATGATGGCGAATAACACCATATTCTGATAACGAAAAGGGCTATGAAGATGCCTACCTCATCATATGGAGCAGGGGACAGCTAAGGAATATTTTGCCGCAAAACTGTAATGGAAGTGACACCCTGTGCGACAGAATGTTTCAAATGTGCGTCATAAACAAGGTGACTTCTTTCTTGACCCTGTACATGGGCTTTTAGAAAATAACTAAAAGTGATGCAGCAGCACATTTCTTTTCTTAGCGGGCTGATAATACATAAAATGAAGTGTAAAAAATGTAGAAAAACGAAATATTACACATGCCTGAGCGCTGGATTCTTCTTGTCTCTAAGATTAAAAACACGACTGCGAAGAGCGGCTTTGTATTTGTCTCCAGTGCCTTTGTGCACCTAAACGAAAGAATTACATCAACAAGATGTGAACTTTAGTAATAAGCCTAAGGTGGCATTCGTTTCATTTATATGCTAGGGTTTACAGCACCAAACGTATTGTGTTGAGTTAAGCTGCGCTAACACCAATCAAAACATTGATGACACCCTGACGCGCATGCGCGTAGAAGCTAATGGATCGCAAAACGCGTGGTACGCATGCTGGAGCACTAGCATGCCAAAGCCCGCATAAGGTCACAATCTCCACACTTACAACCGTTCCTCTAAAATGCGATTACGATGTTCAAAAGAAAAATAGTTACGGTAATGCTTTCATCACAGTGGTCTGCTATTAATCAATTAGAGAGAGTTAAGGTCTACAGTACGCTAAAACATCCCGATTGTGATCCCGCTCTCTACAGTACGCTAAGACATCCCGATTGTAATCCCGCTCGCGATCGGTGCAGCCGCGACCATTCTAGCGCCATTAATTGCAGCAACAGGAGAGCCCGAAGTGGCGAGAGTAGTCGTGCGAACAAGAGGACACCCTCGCACGTTCACTCGCGCCACTTTTCCGTGCGAAAGACGGTTTTGAAAATAGTTCCACACCGAACAAGTTAAAGAGGAGCAAGAAATCAATGTAGAAGAGGCGAAAGCTGACTGACTCAGCTGTGTAAATGATGCTTGATCAATGAAGACGCTTACGCTAAATAATTTCTCTTCCACTCTGACGGCGATATCCTCAGGATCGAGAGTGCCAACTGGAAGCTCTGCGTATCTGAGAGCATTCAAAATCATCTGCGCTGATTTTAACCTAACCTGAAATTATTGCGAAGATCGTGTGGTGATTATTCAATCCATCAGACACATGAAAGTATAGAGAGTATAAAATGCATGAGTCAAGTATATTAATATAGTAGACTTATATTCGAGGTCGAAATAATGAGAGATAGGTACGAGTGCAGGAAGCATAAAAAGTATTAAAAATGAAAGTACTCGCTAATCAAAATTGAGAAACTAAGTGAGCACCACTGAGCGCTTTCCCGTTCTTGGAAAAGAATGAAGTGCTACCATGCAAACAGCATGCAAACACAATGAAGACATATTAGGTTGGAAAGAAAGTCCTGCAACACTTTTTCAAATTTTTGATTTTAATTTTATCTTTTTTGTTTACAACTCCTGACCGGTCATATATCTACCATGAGTGTCCACCACTTGTCTTCAACGCTCAGAAAATTTCTTGATGCTCCTTTGCCAAAACCCAGCGGAGTGCGGGTCGAGAAAGGAGGCGACCTCACTTTCGAGTTGGAGTTGATCGTCTAATTATTTCGTCATCAAGATGATGATTTAAGGTCCAGGATAGGTGGCAGTCATTTACAGCTCGACCAGGGGAATACGCTAAGAGAGGAAAGAAATCTTGCCGCAGCTCCAGAATTTCTTACCGGGCTCATTTCGGATCATGATGATTTGTAATGTCATGAAAGAAATAAATGTTGCTGTCGCGATAAGAGAGCTTATGACGAGCTGCCTCGACCAACTTCTAGAGTTTCGTAGCATGGACCTCTACCTACACAATGGTGCCCATAACGAAGAATTTAGTGTTGCTGGATTCCGTAAGAGCCCTATCTGTAATGGAGTGTGCGGGACGCTGCTGGCTTCCTATAAAAATATCAAAAGATCGAAAGCGCTGGTAAAGGTGAAACACGCTGTAGCGCTGAACGGCATGCCTATTAGAAGCTATTGCAGATAGTGTCAGTCGTTGACACGAATCCATGGTTTTGTAGACATTTGTACTAGACAGTGACTCTGTCTACGGATTTACTAGTGCTCGAGGTTTTTTGATTTTTTTGGATAACTATTGACTGCAGCACTTACATCCACACCGTGGATTAGAGCCCCGAATATGCTTTACCATTTATTGTTCATAAATGTTACCTATGATTTTTTGCAGGAAAAAAGAAAATTTTAGAATGTGTTGCAGAACTTTCTTTCTAACCTAACAAATAAAAGATCGGAAAAATCAGAATTTACCTCGTCATTTTCTAAATGCTTGGGAGGAAAATTGGATGAATGATATTGGTTTGGAAGAGGAGCCGGTGGTTGACTCGTCGCTGGTGTGACTTTTGGAGCTTGCTGATTCGATACTGACCCATTGTTTTTAGCCGAGTTTGAAGACGATGGCTCATTTTTAGGTGCCTCAAATGAAAATGTTGAAATGTTATAATGGCATACATGGTACAACCCGCAGGACACTGTCAAGAAAGTAATGCCGAGTACTGCAATTGATATCACAACAAAACACCTTTTCCTTCTTGTCCTCTCGTTTATCGACCAAATTTTTCCACTCCTTAATAAGATTTTTTGCTTTCTTCGCCAGTTTCTCGTCAGATGTTTTCTTGCGTAAGTCGTTAATGGTCATTCCGATACGAGTTTTCTAAACTATACTTATGAGCTTATAGTCAGAGCAGTAACAACATTAAAACATACATTTGAGCATACTAATATAATAAAAAATACAATACTGATAAAAAAGGAAAATCGCGAAGAGCAGCAGTATTAGCTGAAGCAGCAGAGGCTGGGAGGAGCATCCGCAATGCCCGCCGAAGCTTTGCCAGCTACAAGACCAAGATGACCTGCCTCCGACGTCCGGATGGAACAGTTACTGCATCCCGAAGGGCAATGGAGAAAGTCATCCACGACTTCTACTCGGATCTCTTCGATAGCCATGTCCATCTGCCTACTTATCAACTGCAACAGGATACGTCGTCCCCTCAGTTCTCTCTTCCGAAGTCCGACACGCCATCAAGTCGGTGAAGAATCGTACAGCACCCGGTCTCGACAGGGTTAAACCGGAACATCTGAAGAATGCACCGCCAGTTATCATCAAAACTCTGGCTCGACTCTTCACGCGCTACCTGTCGGAATGCAAGGTACCCACTCCGTGGAAAACCAGCAGGACCGTGTTGCTGTACAAGAAGGGAGACTTGGACGACATTGGCAACTATCGCCCAATCTGCCTGCTGTCTGTAATCTACAAGCTATTCACTCGAGTCATCCTTAACAGGATCGGCAGAATACTGGATGAAGGACAGCCATGCGAGCAAGCAGGGTTTCGAAGAGGGTTCAGCACGATCGACCATATCCACACGGTTACAAGACTCATTGAAGTTTCACGAGAGTACAAGATGCCGCTTTGTCTCACGTTCATCGACTTGAAGAAGGCCTTCGACTCTGTGGAGACAGAAGCGGTCATCGAAGCCTTAAAGCAACAGTCCAGGCAGGGTTTCAACTACTTGGTCATTAGGCGGTAGAAACATGCCCCAGCCC